TATTTAAATATTAATTAATTAAATTTAAATTATTAGATTATGAATGATAATCCAGAACTAATTACAATTCGTGAAATAAAACAAATTTTAAGATGATTATTCTTTTTTTAGATTTTAAAATTTTAATTAAAATTTTAGCTCCAATTTATATGACAGTTATGAACTTAGAATCCCAGTTAACAACTTTAGCAGATTATTTTGTGCAATTCATTTATTTGGCAGCTGCAATTAAAAAAAGTTCCAAGATTTAGAATTAGTAGATTTAAAAATCACTATATGTAGACTTTTAATAAAAGATAGAATGATTTTAATTCAGATAATTATTTATTAGTATATTTTTTGCATCCAGGATATTGTGGTGAGTTTATATACTTTTAAAGTTTAATTAAATTAAAATTATATTAATACAATTTATTTATTAGGTGCTGGTTTATATGAATGACAGTTTCAATTAATTGCCAAAATAGCAATTAATATTTGGAAAGATAAAAATTATAATAAATATAAATGTGCAATTTTAGTTGCATATATGAGATAATTTAAAGAAAAGAAAAATGGATTTGATTTACTATATAGCTTTGAAGCTGATACTTCTTTATTATGGTGGATAACAAACTTTACTGGTACTAAATTAATTAGATATCTTGCAATTAAAATTTTTTTAATAACACCTCATTCTGCAGACTGTGAAAGAACATTTTTAGCTTTAGGCTAGTTATATGGAAAATAATGACAATGACTTTCACTTACTCGAATTTAGCAATAGCACAAATCTGATTCTTTTATATCTCCAATATTCAAAAAGAATTGGCTTTTTATAGAAAAGCGTTATCAGTTAATAATTTACAAGAATTAGTAGCAACGTCAACTTTTGAAACAGAATTTGATGATGATGATCTGATTGAATATTCAGAAACTAAAACAAAAATTGAACAAAATTTAGAAAGCATTAATTTTCTTAATATTGAAAGTATGGTAAACTTAAATTATAATGCATTTCAAGATAATAAATTAGATAGTGAAAGTGAAGGATCACAAATTAGTAGTAACGAGGAGAATTATGAATATAATGATAAACCAATGATTAGTAATAATAAAAAGCAGGTGTATTCGATTATAATCCAATAGATTTAGTAACAGATTTGGTAAATGTATGCGAGAATAGTTATACTGAAAATATCGAAGATATATTAAATATAGAAATATGTATGGATGATAATTTGGATGATATTTTAGATGAAGATGGTGAAAGAGACATAGATTCTAATCCGGAAGCAAATAGTAAAAATTTTCCTATTGTACTTAAAAAGACACATTGTGAATTTTATAGAAGTTAGAATATATATTAGCTAGATCATAAAGATGTAATTAGGAATATTTGATGTTTAATAAAACAAACATGCTTAAAATATAATTAATATAGTTTTTAATTTATTTTAAGGGCCAATTATGTTTACTTAAATATATGCTTATTTATTCATTTATTAAAATTAATAAAATAAGATTTTTTTTTCTTTTGAATATGACAATAAAGTTTTATTAATATAAAAAAATCTATTACACATCAATTAAAATTATAATTTATATAAACTGTTGAAACTTTAAAATATAAATTTGAAAAAAAACTTAATATTTAGCTATAAAGAAGTAAACTACTGCATTGCACCCAAAATAATATATTATTATATGTTATTACATGTCAATATAGTAAATATACTAAATATTTTATTGGTTAAATTGACTCATCAAGAGTTTTATCAATCATCAGAAGTTTCATCAATCAAGGAGTTTTATCAATTGCCAAGGTTTCATCAAGCAAGTGTATTGTCAAAACAATTTCATTATTCAAAAATAGTTTCGTCAGGAATCATTAATTGAAGTTCCATCTCTATTCATTAGTGTTTCAGCTCTATTCATTTGTGTTTCTTGGCTTATTTCATTAAATATAAAAACCCAAGAATAAGTTTCTGTATTAAATATATAAATATTATTGCTATATACCTATGGTTATACAACTACTTGGCTGGTTTTTTGTTCTAAAAAAAAATATAAATATATGTATACTAATAAATTTTATATAGATAATTTAAATTAAAAGATTTATTATCAAACATAATAATTACCAAATGCAATGCAATGATCATATAAATACTATATAAATTAGCAGTGTGGCAAATGAGTGATAGTGGTGCATTCATCATAGAAATACTTAGAATGTACCATTGCTAGGTATTTGTATTTAATATTGTAAGATCAGGATAAACTTGTACAGAATAATGTGCACCACCAAAAATAATAATATTTCTATTTTTAACTAGTTAAAAGATATTTTTTAATTATTAATTTTACGTAAATATACTTAATTATATTATTCAAATATAAGGACCCTCATAACAAAAGGGGCAGTAGAACAAAAATTTTGATTTTGTAATTTTATAAACATTAGTTTTCTATCAATCTAATTTTTCAAGAAATCAATTAAAAATAAAAAAAATTTTTTTGGCTCACTGCCCTCTTTTACTATAGAGGGTCCTATATATGTTTAATCCTGTCTACTTACTTGAAACTGCAGAGTGTCCAATACGAGGTTGAATAGTGATACCACTAGTGGTCTTAAATAAAGCAGGAAATGATATAAAATTATAACTCATAAACATAAACATTATACTATTAATTAAATTTATAATATTTACCTTATTAAACAAACTCAAATATTTTGTGTCAAATATAAGGATCTAAATTTACAAAATATGATTATTATTCATAAACCAAATAAATAAATAAATAACGTATACTTGAATAATATCATTGACCATACATCATTGATATTAGCATAAGTTAATGATGATAGTATTGATTCATTATAACCACCAATATAAATAATAAAGCCTGTTGGTAACAATATTGCAGAATAATCTGTATAAGACAGAATGTCTGTGAGTAAAGTTAATATTAAATATATCATTGAGATAGTATCAAATAAACTTATTTTATAAAATATATTGCCTCTTCTGGTAGTATGTTCTGCATTATAATATGTTCCACTAAAAATATATACTTTCCCATTACTGTTAATAATTGCACTAATCTCATTTCAGTTAATGAAAGAATTATTGAATCCATTAATAATTAGTATTGTACATAGTAATTTTATAGTATCAAATTAATATATTTCTGTAGACATTAAAATCATTCTTTCTCCAATTAAATAAATTGTTAAATTTTCTGGTGTTCCAACACACATACTTAAATTATTACCAACTGATATTCTAATAGAAACTTTTTTAAATGATGGTGTGAATATTTCAAATATACTTGATAAATCAATATAAAATAAATCATTAGAAGTGTTTGTACTTTGTATTGCCTACCTAAAAAATAAAGTTTAGTATTAATTAGAGCATTACAAAGTTTATCTAGGGTATCAGGAATGTCTTGACAGATTACTAATAAATACAAAAGCCCAAAATAAAATAAAAACAAAGATTTTGAAAATTCTTCATATTGATTTATTTAAAAATTTATAAGTTTTACTATCTCATTAAGTTTTAAAATAATTACTCAGACTAGTGATGCAGATAAACTATTTTCTCAACTGCTTTTTAATTCCACAACATTGTGGAATTGTTTCAATCACCCAATCAATTTATTTTGTAACTTTCATATTTGTCAAATTGTCAAAAATATAAAAGTTATGGCATATTTGTACTGTCACACATATAAGGGAAGGTTGAGTATTATGGCACAGGAAGTTTTGTAACATACTCATGTTTTTTGCTGGTATATATAGTATCTGATCAGAATCGATCAATTAGTACAACTCGATTTCTATTATTAAGAAGAATTGAATTATACAATAATTAATTAATTCGAATCAATACTTGAGTAAAATTAGATATTTGGGGATTTCAAAATTAACAAATAAGTAGCGTATTTTGAAAATAAGTAGAATTTTTTCAATAGTATTTTACTATGTTAAATTATAAATCAGAAAAATAAAATAAAATTCTCTGATTTTAATTTTGAAACCCCTTATTGTGTTGTAGCATTATGTTATTTTCTACTTAGAAAATTCAGGAAGAAAGTAAGATTTTTTTATTTTTTATCATTAGATAGTAAAATCGAATACTATTTTATTTGATAAATTTTGTAAATAAATATACTTTTTCTTAAATTTACTATTAGTAATTTTTAAGTGCGTCATAATATGTACCCAATATTCCTTTATATCTTGTTATTACTTTACATATGAGTGTGTTGTATTCAGAAGTATTTAATATAATTTAGTATCATTTATAATATAAATCGTGAGCTCTTATCTCTAAAATCACATTAATTCATATTTTCTTTATAATAAATATCTAACAATCACAAATATATTAATTTTCATATTTTTATTAGATTTCTATCATTTTTTAAACAAAAATTTCTCAACAAACCAAATCCTACAAAAATTAACTAAAACTATAGCTAATACTAATCTAATGTGGCTTACTTTTCAAAATTTTGTTTGTCAGAAAAATAAAAGGATTCAGTTTTATTGCTAGTTCACATAGATCGAATAATATCAAACTCTGCATGACTATAGCAGGATCTCCTACTAATGGTACATAAGTAACTAATTTATATGGTTTATAATACTTTTTAAGAATGCAATATTTCACTAATAAAAAATACACCAAATATGTATATGTATTAATAATTTAACCTACTTGAAAAATAAAATAATTAATCTATGATGACTTTAATTACTGTAAAATTCTTGAATTATCCACTATTTTGAGAATTTATAGTATATCTCAAATTTGAATATAAAATTTAATATATATTATATTTTACTATAAATAATTACCACACACTCTATCTCATTTTATAAATATCATATAAGTAAGAATAATTTGGCTAAAGACTTCATCATGATTTCTGCTAATTTAGCATTTAAAAATTAGATAGAGGTTGAGGTCTTATTTACAATAGGATATGGTAAAGGTGGTTGTCATCTATTGCTCTTCTTCACCTTCTAGAAAGATGTGAATAACAAAGAAAGCTTTTTTTAAAGGATTAAAATAGTAGTCTTATAATAGAAATTTCTTTTAAATGCTATAAAAGCTTGGTTTTTATTTTTGTTTTTATCTAAACTTATATATGTAGTTGACAAACCAAAATTTCATTGATGAAAATATAGAATTAAACTAAAGATAAAATTTTATGCATAATAAACAAATCATTGACTAAATCAAGAATGACTGCTAAATTCACAATTCCTGTTTATTAATTTGGAAGTACATGCATACAGTACTATGGTGATAAATGGACTAAGTAATCAAAACTATGATAGCAAACTATAAAATTCGATATATCGCAGATTTTTCATATTACACAAATAAAGATCAATTTTTACGGTGTTCTATTTGGGCCAAAAATGCAAATTTTTTGAAAATTGAAAATTTGAAAAATTTGAAAATTGAAAAATTCGAAAATTTAAAAAATTCAAAAATTGAAAAATTTGAAAATTTAAAAATTGAAAATTTTGAAATTTTGAAAATTGAAAAAATTTTAAACTTCAATATATAGTAATTTAATTACTAAATATAAAATATAGGTAATACAGGTTATATGACTTTAATTTTTGTATCACCTGATACATGCTCGTGAGAAAGCCAAATTTTAAATATCACATGACTATTATGTATATTTGGCAATTAAACTACTATATTTAGAAATTTAAAATTATTAAATTTTCAAATTTTTAATTTTTCAAATTTTTTAATTTTTAACTTTTAAATTTTCGAATTTTTGAACTTTTAAAATTTAAATTTTAAAAATTTGAAATTTTAAATATTAAATTTTAAAATTTTGAAATATCAAAAATTCAAAAATTCAAAATTTCGAAAATTTGAATTTTGAATTTTTCAAAATTTCAAATTTTTAAATTTTTAAAATTTCAAATTTTTAAATTTTTAAATTTTCAAAATTTCAAATTTTTAAATTTTTAAATTTTCGAAATTTTTAATTTGTAAAATTTAAATTTTGAAAATTCAAAAATTAAAAATTTAAAAATTCAAAAATTTGAAAATTTGAAATTTAAACTTTTAAAATTTTAAAAATTAAAAAATTAAAAAATTTAAAAAATTAAAATTTTAAACTTTCTAAATATAGTAATTTAATAGCCAAATATATACAGTAGTCACGTGATATTCGAAATTTGGCTTCCCATGATCATATGTTGGGTGACATAAATTCAAAGTCACGTGACTTGTTTAGCCTACACTTTATATTTGGTAATTAAATTACTATATTTAGAAGTTAAATTTTTTTTAATTTTCAAAATTTTAAAATTTTCAATTTTCAAATTTCGAATTTTTCAAATTTCGAATTTTCAAAATTTTGAATTTTCAATTTTCAAATTTTCAAAAAATTGCACTTTTGGTCCAATTAGAGTTGTGAGCTTTGGTGATAAGTTGGAGTTTTTTTTGTGTAAAATTTCATCAACATTATTTTTTATTAGTCCACAAAGGTCGATTTAAACACTGGTTTTCGGGTATTTTCATTTCTTTTCTTTTTTTCTTCTTTTGCGGAATACCCGAAATTTGTGTTCTCTGATTGGGCATTTCCTTTTTAGTAGTTTGAATTATCCGCGCAAATAAGTGGATGCCATTGACATAATTATATTACGGTTAGAAGTCCAGAATTTTTCGCATGTAAAAAAAAAAAATTTTAGATTTCAAATAAATTTAGTTTAATAATATGGGGTGTCCCCAACTAAAACAGCCCATATTTACATATGCCTTTTAATTTTCGGACTGATCCGGGATTAATCAAATTCCATGATTTTGATTGGTTAAAGGTAACAGGTGACTATCGGGTAATCTCGTGATATGCTTGACCTTAGAAAGCCTCGTGTAATTTTTCTTTTACATTATCTCTATTTTTTATTATGCAAATCGACTTTCATTTATAATTGAAAAATGTTCATCATATCAAAATTTATATGAATCTAATAAAAACACATTTTTCAAAAAATTGTAAATATGGACTGTTTTAATTGGGGACACCCCATATAACGTAAGTTACATTTTAACTTCGATAATTTATTGTATTGCCCTCAGCTCGTCAACCAAAAATGACTATGATTCTCTATAACTTTGACGAGTTCACTGTGAACTTAGAGTTTTCCATTTTGTAATTTGGCACTTACTGAATTTGGAAAAAAAAAAAAACAAAATATTAGTAAATTTGATTAAAATCAAAGTTAGTTAAAACAATTGCTTATCTGGTTGGAAACGATGAATGAGGCTTGAAGATGCTACAAAATCTCTGCTCGATAAAGATATCGAATGTGATTGTACCTTTGAACTGAGCGGGTGCTGACCACAAAGCTTTTGTAGGTAAAGGTGCGTTGTACTTGGCTGTATCATATAATTGTTTGTTTCCGTATTATGCGGGGGCTAGGTATGAAAATGTCTTTGGGTCCATTATATTCACCACCTTCTAGACCTGCTGTTTTCAAATTCCATGTCCAAGATACATAATTCTTGCCATGATTAACAGATAAGACGAAAGCAGGTCTGCAAATTTTTTAGCCTTTTTTTATGATAATGAAGCACTAATCGAGGAAGGACTAAAAGTTATGGTTTGGGAATTTCATGATTCTATTTCAATTGGTGCGCATAAGGAAGGATCCGTAGTGGGATCAACATTTTCTAGTATAAGCTCGTCACAATTGTTTAGGATAATATGTAACATCCAAAAATCACGATACAGAGCTTCACAATCATGATTGAGGCCACTTCCATCAAAACCGTTTAGATGTAGAACATATCCAGCCTTTTTTTCAAACTCAATTCCTAAGAGAGTTCGATTAACTTCGCGAATACATAGCCTTAGAGCAAAAGCCAATTCCGCCGAATGAATCGAATTGCAAGTGCAATTACTTCCATGTAATATCCCATTAAGTTTATCGTCAGCAAATTTTGCATGAAGAAGTGTATGTAGTTTTTGTGGAAATAAGCGATCGTAAAACCGATACGATTTTTGTAGCTAGACAGAGTGCAGTTATTCTGGAACACCTGTCCATTATACATCAGCTGCTGTTTGTCAGGACGGATTCTTTTCTTAGTGCATATTTTGCATTTAACCTTTTCAATGGTATCTGTCTTCGTGATATCAACACATATGGTCTCATCAGGCATTTCTGCATTGATTTTTCCTCCTCGTCCACGTGCCAACGTTCTGACTATTATTATTGAGCCTCGTTTATACCATAATCCCATACTCTGCAGTCATTCTGAAGTTCATTGCCGTCAAAGAAGAAACATTGCTGATTTGATGGGGCACACTCCTTAACTTTGATTTCTCCTTTATATTCAAAATTGTGTCAGCCGATTCGATCTCACGCTCAATTTCATGTGTCTGAAATTGTATATTCACTTGTATGTTGATGCTTAAATTTATATTAAGGATTGACGATGGTTGGATATCATATTCAGACAAAAATATAATCATCCTCGAACTCTATACCTTTAAAAAAAGATGTGCAACACTTGCATGTATAAGGTCCTCAATTTGAAAAAACTTTGCTTTGACATTCTTATAAAATTTGTTGCACCAACGTATATTAAAACTATTCCATAAGCTCACAACTTGTTCTTATAATGCATATGTGACTCCATGCATTTAATGACAAGTTTTCTTCTTCTTCTCAAATATCAAATACCTCACAAGAAACCTCATCCTCAGATATAGTAGGCACCGTGTAATCATTCTTTCATCGCCCATTCTACAAATTGCTGATCTATTGCGGAAAAAAGCGACTGAAGAGATTTACTTGTGCACAGTGTGAGGGGCAGAATCGATCCGGACTCTCAAAATATGGGCCTCACGGATATCAACTAAAGCTAAACTAATCTAAATCAACACACCAAACTACTAAACTCTATCCAACCCCCTAATGGTGGAAGGCACGAGAGAAGACTTGGTCCGAGTTATTAGGGCCAAATAGAGCTCTAGATTACGTCACGAAGCTCTTATTCGGGATCACGGGATTAGACTACTAATTCTATGTGAATTTAGCTTATCGGGGGGGGGGGGGTAATTAAAGCGAATCTTTAAAGTTGGAATAGCAGACTCTCATAGAGTCGAACTCTAATGAGTTATATGCGTATAACGTTAACTAGTAATTGCTAGCGATCACTAGCGATTCCTTTATTCAAGGCGAACTCTTAGCCTTTATATACATTTTTCAGCTATTATCTAATTCGCTAATTCTATCTATTATATCTAACATACATAACAAATATAACATGTCTAACAAATATAACCTATATAACAGATCCAACATATCTAACGGATCTGATATATCTGACATATCTGACAGATCACAGATCTTTTCCGGCCCACATCGATCTACTACGCCAAAAAAGTAAAACAAGCCACAATTTACCCCGTGACAACAGACCAGAAAATAAAACTAAATGGAATATGTACTACCTGAAGAAATTTTGATTGCTCACATCGGCAGTACGGCATATGATGGTTCATTAAGGCATGAAAGCGATAGATGTAATATGGGTGCTGGATGGGTACAAGTAAATGAAAAACAAGAAAATCTATTATGGGAGGGTTGTGCAAAAATAGAAAATTGGCCATCATCAACAAAGCCCGAGCTTATCGCAATCTGGCTAGCTCTGTTCACTATGCTATCAAGTTGTAATATCTGTGTTTACTCAGACAGTGCAGTGGCAATTGCTGGTATCAAAAAGTTTAAAGATAAGTAGAGATTTAACAAAATCTATAAAGAAAAGAACTGGGATATTTTAATTAAAATCATAGATCTTCTCAAAGCTAAAAACATTAATCTAGAGCTTAAAAAGATTAAAGGTCATAGCAATAACAAATGGAATGACAAAGCAGATCTATTAGCAAAAAAAGCTACTTTGTTAGCTCACTCGACAAATATTCATGCAGATCGCAATACCAGAATTACATTTTCTCTCTTCTAGAATAATCACAAAGTTGAAAAATTAACCAGACCATTTCTAAAAAAGATTTTAAAAACTTGAAATGGTACTAACTAGAGACTAACAGAGACAATTCTGGCTCTAGAACCTGAAACAGACAATTCCAAGTTAGACTGGCATATGTACTGAAAAAGAATCAAAAAATTGAAGGGAGTTAAATGTAATACATTACAAAAGAGTAAAAAACTTGCAACACAACTGAAGTGCCTCTTAGATAACTTACCAGTACTCAGAACTCTAGCAATGAGAAAACCAGATATTTATGCAGGTGGTAACTGTATAGTCTGCAACTTTAGTACATTAAAAATGCAAGACCATTTAGCTGTATATATGTATTACAAAATAATGTGGCTAAATATAAAGAATACAGCAATTGATTTAGCCTGGTCCAAAAAACACTCTCTACAAGATCCTTATCAGAGACTCAGAAGCTATCAAATCAGAAAAGAGAAAGTTATGAATCAAAGGTCTAACTACTGCAGAATCATTCAATGAAATCAAGAACCTTCTAAACTTAACAGAATTGATCTCACACATAATAGAACTCACAGCACACATAATGTGGAATGGTTTCTATGATTTTATATGGAGAGACAAATACAGCAATGTCGTAGAATGGAAAAAAAGACAAAATATAAGAAAGACAGATAAAAGAAAAAAGAAAGAAAAATTAACAAAACTGAGAAAGCCTCTGTCTAGCAACTTGAAAGAAAAAGAAATACAAGTAGGGAAAAAGAAAGAAAAAGGTAATGAAAGTAAAGAAAAAAAAAGAGACAAGATATCAGCAAAAGAGAAAAAGATACAAAAAGTTTGGAGTGATACTATTTTAAGTTGGATACAAAAGAGTGAAAACTCCTTTTGGACAAGTTTATAAAAAGAATTTTTTTTAGCTTATCTGTAAGCCAATGCGATAGGTTGCATCTTGTATTACAAGTAACTAGGTGAAGTCGGGCTCTAATTTAGTCTTAGAAAATAAAAGTATAGATATAAAATTAAATGTACTTAAGACTAAGAGGTCAAGCCACAGCAAAGAAATAAAAAAAAAGGGGTTTAAAAAATAAAAAAAGCTTAAAAAAATAGAAATTGTAATTACAGTATATAAATAAGTCAAATGAGAATGTTTAAAATTTTTATTTCTTTAAACAAACTTAAATTTTTTTATATGCACTTATTCTATAAAAAAAATACATTATAATTATATAGGTTGGTGCAAAATAGCTAGATCAAGCCTGGATTTTGTATGTAAGTAGCTTGAATCAGTATAATTTTTATCTTATATTAGATTATATATTTGTACTAATTAGACTATTAATAACTCTAGTTTTGCAACAATTTTACTAATCTAATTAGTACAGGTTTTGGCATAGATATATATAAATTTATATACTACAGTAATATTATAAAATTTTGAAATATTACACTTTTTTTAAAAAAAACATTTTACTAATTCTTCGCTTTAAGTTATGTAAATATACATATTATTTAATTTATACTATTTTATATAATGTGACAAAATATGCTACCAGTTTGCCATAATGTCTGTATTATTTTTAACTATGCAATAACATAAAATGAGCTTTTATATGCCATACACTCATATCATTTTGTATATTTCTGAAACCAATCTAAGCTACAATTTAGACAACTTTTTATATTGGGTTATTTTTGATTTTTTAATAAAGCTTTCTTTTGTTTAAAATAAAAGCAAAATAATTAACCATTAAATCTTACAACTTATCAAATAAATTTGGCCTTCTTTCTATAATTATAATTATATAGTTTCTTTTTATTATTGTTATCATTTTTGAAACTTATTTGAAATTCACAAGATAGAAAATTAAAAGTGTTGAACTATGTGATATTAGCTTTGCAGACTTATGGTATATGCAATCTAATAACCTCAAAATTTCCAAATATAGAAACGATGTATCTACTATGAAACATATAATAACATATATGTATAAGTGTTTTTTTTAATATGTTCAAATAAATGGTTTGTAATTATTATTTTTATAAAATTTAAATACTTATTTAAATAATTCTTCTCACCTATTTTACTTTATTTTAACTTAATTTTTTATTTTATATTTGTTATATAGTATTTTATTTTTTATATATTTATTTTTTTGAGAAATATCAAAAGAAGGAGAAGTGGTAATATTAACTGAAAAATTAACTTTGAATGGTTTAATAAATAATAAATAATCTATAAATAAAATAAAAAAATACTGGCAAAATATTGCTAATGCTCTTAAATAGAAAAATAATATATAAGATATATTTAGAAAGACTATTTAAATAGATGTATATACAAAGAGTACTAGCTAGCATCTTGGCTATAAAAACTAGGTCTTCACTATTAAGTTGTCACTAATAAACAGTTAACTGCAAGATGTTGACCATATTTTTTATTTTACTTTTGTAAATTAAAGTCTTACTTTATTTACAGCATAAAAGTTTATAAAAAATTTTTTTTTAAAAAAAAAAGTTTATAAAAAAATTTTTTTTTAAAAAAAAAAGTTTATAAATAAATATATAAAAAAAAATAAAATAAAAAATAATATTGGGGCTGAAGCTAGAAATGGCTGAAGCTGGCAATCACGTGATATTCGGATGATCATCTTGATGATCATCTATGTTGGCTTGCATATCAGCTTGAGTGTCAGCTTGAACGTCAGTTTGAACTTTGGCTTGAACTTTAGCTTGAATATTGTTGACTGCATATTGCTGTGCAGATGTGTCATGTATTATTTTTTATCTATTTATAGTTATGGTTAATGCACTTCAGCCTTTAAAATACCTGTGATGTACTGTGCAAGGACTGCAAACATATCAAAAGATTAATAGTCTTTGTAGTTCTTTTAGTTTTCTCGAACTCTAGAATTCTAAAAAGATTACGAAAACTACTGATCTTTTATAAATAAAACTTAAATATGTCAAAATTCCAGTTAAGAAAAAAAAAAAGGTTATTGTAGTTTTACTATTATGCTATTATGTTCGTGGTTCTTTTTAGTTTCATGTTTGGGTACTACTATGAACTTATTATAGAGAATTTGAGTGCGCGAAAATTCAGGTGCTTTAGAATGTTAAAAATTAGAAATTTAGTTTGTAGTTCTTTTGGTTTTTGTAATAGTCACTTACTTTTATTACAGAGAACTGAAGGTAAGAAATTCAAGTACTATGCGTAGAAAAAAATAAAATAAAATAAAAAGGTATGCATTTATGTTAAGTTTCATGGTCATTTAGTCTTCGTA